TCGCTGCGTGCAAGTGGAAAATGAACAAACTACTGGGGCTGACGATGTTTGCTCTGTACTTCGTGTTTTTGATCATCAGTGTCATGTTAGAAGACAAGATAATATCCTGCCCGGTATCTGTATGACATTTGGACACACACCAAAATCAATAGGGTTTGAGGTAGCAATTGTTCTACTCCAGAATTATTCTGGTTAGCAACCAGAATTACGACCAACTTACTGAGAAGAAAATATCTTTAACATACTGAAGAAATACATCTCAAGTGGCATGTCAGCCTCTACTATTTTTCTTTAGGATCAGAAATGATCAGCTAATGAAGGGACCAATATCAGATAAAATCCATGTTTAAGCATCCATGGAAAGGCTGATGATGCACACGCATGAGGTTTTCGGGATGGCTGATCCCCTCAAGTTAATGGAGCTGATTTTCAGCACAGAATATGTACTCATTATAGAAATATGTTCAGGAACACACTCCCAATTACTCACTAAACTGTTCAAACTCAGGGAAACCAATAAACTTTACTGCAGTGGGAACAGAACCAGACCTGCTTGTCTTTACAGAACTACTCTGCTTAAAGTCCCTGTGTGGACACACGTTTTGCATCTCAGAAGTGAACTCCCTCCCGTTGCAGAACAGCGATCAGCACAGCGGCTCCCAGGCTCTGTGCTGCAGGTGGTTTGCCATGGCTTCGCTTGGCAGAGGTAGTTTTCACCTTTTCAGTGAATGCTGCTATAAAGCATCCACCACTGGACACACACCTCTAAGAACACGCAATGCACTGCAGAGGAGATGCTCTTAAGACTGGGAAATGTAATACTGTGGTTTTCAAGGAAAAAGTGATGCAGTAAGAGTTGTTAATGCATGCAGACAAGCAGAGGATTTGAGTGCACAGCAATCCTGAAAGCTATCCCTATGGCTCCTCTTAAATCTGTATCTGATCTTGCAATATAATCCCTAAAATTTACTCTACATGTGACCAGTCCAAGCGTGGTGTCTTATGGATTTACGTCTCACTGTACCAAGACTAAATGGGTCTGGGGTTAGGATACCACATCACCATAATAAAAAACTAAAACCAGGAATCCAAAGTAGCAACAAGAAGTTGAACTACTCGAGTTTTGTTTTCATCCTGATGCTAACCTCTGAATTTCCAGACTGTTGTATCCAGCACTAGGTTTTGTTGTCTCTACACATCCACTATGAGAAAATGCCACCGACAAACAGGAAGGGTTTATTGTTAACAACTCCTCACGCGAGCAAACAACGTAGTTAAGAGTCGCAGACATTTCTGTCATTCTAATCCATCTAATAAAATGTCAATGAAAATAGAACCAGAAAGTTTTTAAGCTTTTTATTGACTCACTGTAAAACTTCTCTTTTTTTTGGATGAGACAGAAAAAAAAACAACCTTAACATCGTGAACACTGACTTTGCATATTTGAAAGGAACTACAAACCAAAGCAGACATCCAACATACTGGTTTTTTTGGTAAATAAAATTTCGACGTTACATATTTACAAATCTACAACCATTCGTTTAAAAAGTGCTGCTTGCAGACTAACAAAGTACCATTTTTAAAATCCCAGATAATATCCAGAAACACCCCTCTCAGTACTATTTGCATCTCCCATTTGTTACACAAAGATTTTACAGGCAGGAATTTTCTCTTTCTTGGGGTACAAAAATCATTTAATTTGCCAGTGGGAGTCTTTAATTCATCTGCTGTAACTGTACCAACAGCAAACCTCAAAATGGGAGTCAGCAGTGTCAGAGAAACAGCACAACTCCTATTCACATTTCAGTATTTCATCTCCAATAGTTATTCCAGTGGAACCATAAGTAAAGCAAAATATATATTGCACTGCAACTGTAAAACCTCCGTTTCAGGTTTTGGACATAAGCGTTATTTAGTACACAAAAAGGAGAAAATTCAGTTCATACAAAATTTTCAATCGAAAATATGTCTTAAATATTTTATTTATCCATCTTTGCGGTATTGGAAAATATACTCAAATTGCTTTTCTAATAAAGGACAGTGAGATCTGAAAACTGTGACAACGCTGAATTGTACGATGCTTAAAAATGATCCACCTCAGGACCTACATTTTGAACCTTATGACTTGAATGAGGAAAGATTTCCCACTTAAAGTATATCACTACTCCAACTACATTTTATCGTAGTATTTCTACAGTGGACTGACTTGCAACAGACTTTATAAAACAATTCATTAAGTATAATGACTTGACTTGATGAACTATTGATGAGCATGATGCAGTAATTTAAAAGCACACCCAAATAAGCATCAGCAATGCTTCGGGAGTGAGGATGCAAGAACACAGGAAGGATTTTTGTCTGAAGGATGCCTGTACCATCCTTTCCAGGGTAAGGGATGTACTCTGCTGCTAATACTGGCAGGACTCTTGATATTTGAATGAGGTGGCAGATTCGTTGGCTTTCTAAGTCTGTTGGAAGTACTTACAATGAAGCAGGGGCTAGAACGGAGGAAGCGGGCCGTGTTTTACAAGCGTTGCGTCTGTCCCTGTGCTGGCACGCGCGGTTTGCAGTGAGGGGTGGTTAGAGACCGGGCTCGGGCGCTTCTGGCCAGGCTGGAATGGGAAACGTGAAGCTTTCTTCATAGCTCAGTCCTCTAATGCACCGTGGCAGCTCTGGAAAAAGCACTTGCCCTCCTTCATGGCTTGAAGGTCCTATGAAACAGCGGCTGCCCCAAGTGGTAAATGATGGGGGAAACAATTGCAAAGAGCTGGGAACTTTATACACAGCACAGACGTGGGTTTATATACACAGCAACTACTGTATGCAACGTTTACTTGGTAAATACAGCGTACCTACTGTACAGAGCAGAGCATACATGCACACTAATAGGTACTTACAATGACTATGTTAAAAAATAACTCACCAGAGTTAAGAATGAAGGGGGTGTGTATCCACCCTACACTGATACACTGTTTACCGTGGGCCTGGGTGAAAAAAATTCGCTCTATTTCATGCACGAGGAATACTTTACAAGCGTGGCAGTACAAAAGACAGCATCACAAATTGTTAAAATAAATTAAATGTGAAAAATGTTGGTAAGTGTAGCATTGCTAGCTTCACCTCAGGGTGAGGGGATACTTTCAAAAAGGTCAGCTACGTAATTAGCAGCAAATTAGAGAAGAGGTATTACCCAATGAAAGCTGTATCCAAGACTGCATCTTGCAATTAGCATCAGCATCAGCAAACACCTGCAGCTCTACACATCTTAAATCCTTTCTCCTTAGGGCAGCATCTTCTTACTGCTTTACACAGGTCTGGGAGGAGGTTACAGAGAGCTTCATAGCAGCATTACTTCTCATTTAAGCCTCTGAGAGGCTCACTATCTCATCTAAAAAAGTAAATGTGAGCTTTAAAGTTCATCTCCTTTCTGCCTAGCTAAACACTGCTGTATTCTTACACTTACAAACTCAAGAGGTATTTTTAAAAATACCTGCTGGTAGGCAGACCGAAATATAAAATCTAATGTAACAGCTGAATATTTAGAAATATTGTAACAGCAACAATGAAAAAAAAATTAGAATTGGAAAACCATTAGGATTACTTAAAATAAAGCTATTTGTTAAAGCACGGTTTAATTTGTTTAGGGTGTTTTATACAATTCGATGTCTGTTTTCCCGCCTCCATACAAGACTCCTGGTGTTTTTTCTGCAGCCTACCTTCTGGTGAGGAGTTGCAATGTGTGAGAGCACAGAACATTTTTGAAAATCTCTAGAACAAGACATGAGTCAAAAGCCATGGCTCCACCACAAGGACTGACATAGCGTTTGTCTTCACAGAAAAAAAACAAACCCAACATGTTTTGCCTGTGAAACAGAGACTGAACATTCCAAGTACATTGAACTATGCACAATATGCCCCAATAATTTACATTCCCTATATATTCCCTGTAGCGAGTTTGCCGTACGTACTTTAGTTAAAAGCTTTGGATTAGCATTATGCATGTGTCACATTTAGTGTGTTTCAAACACATCCACCAAGACTCTAAACACCGCATGAGTATGAAATTACTTCTTGCAGGCTGTCACTTGCTTCCTTTTACATCTGTAATGAGGTCACGTCAACAAATGCCAACAGAGATGGACTCGTTCCATAAAATAACCTGTAGGACCCTTCCACACGCTTTGTCTTTACTACAGAGTGGGGAGTGAAGGGAACAGGAGAGGAAGAGAAGATTTCTACAGAAGTGTTTTACAGACATCAGTGTGTTCATTAGTAGAGTTTTACTGAAGTTGACCATACCTTCCTTCTGATTGCTGTGGTAACACGTTTTCCATGTGTGCATGAGAGAAATCCTGTACCTGGAGTACTCTCTAGGTGAAGGTTAACATTTCCTATTCTGCTTTAAAAACAAATCACTCTTCAAAGAGTAACTGGACAAGTTACTATAAATAGCAGTGTACTGCAAAAAAAATAAGCACTGTATTGCTTATGCAGCAAGTCCATTTAAAATTCACTCCAGTAATTTAAAAAAATTAAAAAAATATCAACTTACTATAAACAATTTAAAATATGTATAATACAACTTTGTATGCTCTTCATAACATCATGAATATTCTATGTAAACAATAGATTTTGAAGAATTTACTTCGCTCACATTAGTTTCAGTGCATTGTTTCTGTCCACCTGTTATTTAATTTATTTCTTTTTTCAGAAGGGAACTGCCATATGTTGTCCCAAGTTAAAGAACTGATTTGGTTTAGAATCTTCCTTTCTCCACGCTGATTTGCAGAAAGGACGAGGGACAGGAAAAGAATATTTGGCCCATTTTTCACTCTGTCCATCTCCACAACTGTAGATCGGCCTCATCTTTCCAAGGCCTCCTGCCGCACCGCATTCGTACACGCGTTCTTGAACACTGAACACTGAGACGTTCCTTGGGACTGAAGTGGTTATATTACACAGGTACACATCACTGATATCACCTCTTTATCCAGGTACGTTTAAAGATACGGTTCTCCAAAAATCTTTCTGCATTCCATCACTCCAGTACTTGGCGGTCTGTCGCAATTATGGGTATTCTTCACTTGATTAGCTGTGAGACGATCATAGGCCATCTTGTACTCCCTGTCAAAAGCATCTGCAGGAACAGAAGAACAACTTCTATGTGTAAAACTAGTCTGCATGCATTCACCTTCTATGCTTATTTGAATAACTTCTAAAACGTACCTATATCAATGTTATCTCTTCCTAGGGCGACAAGTGAAAGAAACAGGATTTCTCTGTAAAGGCTCCTGAAAGTATAAGAAGAAATGTCATTTATGTACTGCAATAATAAACCACAAAACAACCTATATTAAAAATAGACTGAAGCATTTAAAGTTATTTTTAAAAAGTGGCATTTTGAACCTAATTCCTGATTGCAAAAAAAACCCCGCTAATATATAACTAACATTTAATAACAAAAATACACACAAATATGCACACTCCCTACTTGACTTCTCACCATTCAGAGGTAAGAAGAAAAGGAGGTGGCTGTAAAGGAGAGAGGAAAAAGTGAAAAGTAGTTTTTTTCCAATTATTTTCTACAGTAAATTTGTGAAAGTTATCACAAAGAACAACATAATTTACCAAACAGAGAGAAATTTGAGAACACTGCTGAAAACCAGTGCTTTTTTCTTCAAAAACCACATTAAGAAAATATAATTCCTATTATAATAGCCTTGTTGTTGTCCAACCTCGCTCCAGTTAGGCGTGTTTGTAATTCTTACCGCTGTCTTTTAATATGTGGCCATTTGTTCAGCCTCTCCAATATCTGACTCATTGGTCCGTACACATCATTCATCTTAATGCTTTTCACCATACTTCGCAAGAGCTCCTGATTAAAAGAGTCATCATCTTTTTGCAATAAATGGACCATTGGGTACTTCTGGGCTGAAAAACATTAGAAACGCTGTAAGAATAAATATATTCTTGGTGTAGCAAGCAGAAAGTTATTAAAAAAAGGCGGGGGGCTGTGTAAACTGTGAAAACGTTGACACATATGGAGTGAACAAAGAACAATAAATATCAAGTCAAAATAATATCAACGTAAGAAACAAACTCAGCAGCTGTAATGGGTCATGAGCTATTTTCAGGCATATGATCCAACACTGGCAACAAAATTCTTAGTAAGCAAATACTAAAAATAAGAAAACAAGCGAAGGGGATGAACTGTCAATACACGTTCAGTGCATCACTGAAACGTATTCCCGCTTATTCCTCCCTTCCCAATAAAGAAAAAGCCACTGGAGATACTGGCCAATGATTTGAAACAGATAAGCTGGAAAATAAAACTTGTTTGAGCAGTTTACTGCTAAACAAACAACCTCCCTCCCAAAACAAGTCACACAAACTTAGAAGAGCAACACCAAACTTAACACTCACTCTCAAACAAAAGAGTGCGATTTTGACCTGCAAGACAAAAAGCAGCATGATCAAAAACCAGTTATGTATCTTGCGTGAAGTATCCACAAAGACAGCTTTTTACAAAACAGTCTTCAGTTGCTTAAAATGAAAATTGTGCTTTAAAAAAAAGCCCAAACACCACAAAAAGCCACAAGAAATGAAGCTTACTCTGAGCATTCCACAAAATATACAGAGGCTGCCTTGGATCCTGATGCAGTTTCATGTTGTCCCATAGCATCTGAATAAGAACGTATTTACTGTCCTCCGACATACAGTTTCGTGGGATCTGAACAGGAGAATGCATACATGAAGATATTTTATTACAAAGTCATGACAGAGGACTTCCGTATTTAAAATACACTGTCAAATCTATAGGCCTCATGGTAAAAAGCTTTAATATTAAAACTACTGTAGAACTAAAGAAAACTAAATCTGACCCAGTGAGGTAGCAAATGAGTATTTTGCACATTTTCCTACAGTCCTAAAAACATAACCTCCTCTTCTTTCTACTGCTCAACTAGTCATCAAATTGCAATAAAACCAACTAGAAACTTAACTTCTTCCTAAGAGGTACTGAATTATCTAATGATATCCTATATAGGAAAACAAGCATCTGATTTCATACCTTGGAGTTTTTATTACAGTGCTCAGAAGAAAGTATTAATCCTGGTAAGTTGCTGGGCAAGTCCAAGCGTCTGAAATACCACACCAAATTCCAGAACACAATGGGATGGTGATCGACAAAGTCTGCCACTGTTATTGCATGATCCCCTTCATTTTCAAGTAAGCTCTCAAGCTCTTTCCACACCACCAGAGGACTGAGATAAGGAACTGTTATAGGATCAGGACTAGGTAAGCGCCATTCTAGGCCCAAGGAATCCTATCATAAAAGAGAAAAAAATGCCATTAGTTGGAATGTTAACAAACTTTACAAAGTCTTACGAATGCTTTTGTTCCCTAAGAGACACATCAATGTCTAAAAGCTACAACTAATGCTAGTTTAAATAATAAACCCTAGTATTTCTTGTCATTTGGGATGGTTAATTCTGTTCTCCTAATTAATGCTGTTTCACATTTCTCTAATCTATCGCACACTTAAAAAAAATGACATTTAAGGTAGAAAAACTACACACTGTTGGTCCTTGCAAAGTAGCAGGGAGGCTACCAGTAGGAATGATATGGCTGATCTTCTGGTTTTCCTTCTCATCTTCCTCCAATGGACCAAAAGTACTGATACTTCTTGCTACAGGGTGACTTGTACATTCTGACCCAGAGGTATTTTGTCTTCTTCCTGAGGGGATCTGGATACTTCTGGCACAAACACTGTCATGCTGCTTCGATTTGCTAGGTGAAAACCAAAAGAAAAAGAAAGAAAATGAAGTTAAGAATCTCAGCTTTTTGTTTTATCAAGAGAAAGGAGAGGCAGCAAGGAGATCCTCTCTCAAATTAATTTCTCCTCTTCAGAGTGTGTCTTAATTTATTTATGTTCACACATGCACATCCACAGAGAACCTGAGTAATTTCTGTGCAGAAAATGCAGGTTTACCTGTTTGAATTTGAATTTATGTCCTCTTGAACAGACATTAGGGATGTAGCGAGGCCAACGGTAGCTGTGGTGTTACAGGACTTCCCACTTTGATTTGAAAAAAGTGATGGGAACTGCATGTTTTCTGTCGAAGGGCTGGACTTCAGAAAATAACTGCAGGGAAAGCAAAAGCTTAATAACATCTAAAAAACCAAACAAAACCCACTTCAATTATGAGCATTCAAAACTGAGGAAAATTCAGATGTTATTACCGTCCAGGTCGCCGAAGGTCTCGGATTTCTATGCTTAAAAAAGGCAGAAATAAATTGCCACAGAATGGACAGGTGGTGTTGAGGTTTGAATCATCCGCTGTCCAACCTGCCATGATTTCTTCATCATGAACCAAGCAGTCACAAGTTCGACATCGTGAACAGCTCGAGATGAGGACCTGCATACAGCAGATAACAGAACTCTGCTATTACACTTGACTTTTAAACTATTCTTCTTTTACAAAGTAGTTAAAGTGACAGCCAAAATCTCTGCCCTTATATGAAACTGCTCAGCACTTGCATTCAAGTTCAGCCACGTATCTGTTACCAGGCTTTAAGCTGGAACACTTGGGCTTAAACTTGTGTATTTCAGGACAACTATTAAATCTTTAATCCAAACTGCATTAGCAGACAGCTGATATGGTAAAAGACTGGGATGAACATTGTCTGAAAAATTTATTAAATACAGTGATACGGTAAAAGACTGGAATGAACATTGTCTGAAAAATTTATTAAATACAGGTCTTTGTTCTACTGTAGTAGGCTGGGATCTGGAACTACGCTTGTAAAATAAATATACCTTAGCTAAGTGGGTTTGGTGACCCTTTCATGGCTTCCCAGAGTAAAACCAGCCAGTTATTCAATAGTATTTTTATTAACAATAACCCGTTATTTGCAATGTGTTTGCCAACACAATAGTACAGGAATATTTATGCAGTTACATAAATTATTCTTAGAATTTAAACACTTTTCTGCAGTGACTGCCTGTATAATAGAAATGAAGGGGGAAAAAAAAACCATGCAAGTGACCAGTAACTAATCCAAATCCACTGAAACCAAACCAAACCCCAAAAAGGAAAAAACCAGCCCCCCCAAAGCAGTGTCCTAGCAAAAAGCAAAATCTTACTAGAAGCTACAACAAGAAATAGCTAGTTATATATGTCATGTTTTTAAAATGTATAGTGCTATTTAAGTCTTGATATTTTCACTTTAAACAAATTTAGTGGCACAAGGGGTTGAGATGCGCGAATTCCATGGCATCCAATCCTCAAACTCCTGAGAATTGCAGCTTTAAGGATCAAAACATGTGGCAGCAATAGAGACATTTCTAGAGCAGGATTTGAAATGAAACCTACTCTGTCACAGAAATATTTATCTATCTTTCAGGGAATTAGTTTTAAGCTTTGAACTTGAACAGAGATCCAGATAGCATTTATATTTAAAGACATAGGCTTTTACGCATCAATTTAAATCAATAAATCATCCTGTACCTCCATAGCGTAGTTCTGAAACACACTGGTACTACTTGTACTGCAAGAAGATATCAACTCTGATTTATCAGGTAAAGGGAACTTTGAAAGAGAACCTATGAACAGAAGAAACACAAAGTATTAGTAATTCAGAACATGGTTTTCTGGTCAAACAATCCTGCAGTTATAAAACGTGTGATGGAAGATGCAACAAACCAGATATACTCAGAGAGAAACGTGAAGCTGGAGTGTGAGGCTGCCATCTGCCCAGCACCAACAACGGCAAAAATAAAATCTACCAACATAGAAATTCCATATGTTCAGTTTTCTTCTTTTACAACAGTTGGTAGCTTGGAAACAAGTTTTACACATGCAGTAATTCATACCCACACTTTGTCTGGACAAAAGCTAGGGAATTTGTGACTGCAGATATCCCTGACCCTACTCTATAAAGTTTGATAATTAGCTTCAATATTGGCTTATAGAAAACTGGAATATTTTTGTTCAGATCAATAAATGCAATGCACTTACCACACTGGTCAAACTGTTTTGATGAGCCATCGTGGGAAGCTGAGCTTTCCAGGCTTGTCCTGCTGAGGCCAATTCCCTTAATTTCTGAAGTGGTATTCTCCTGAGGAGAAGCACTTTCAAAATCATTGCAGACATCTTCATCAGTTAAAGAAGTAGATTCTGAGTCCAGAGCTCCAAGAGATGAAACACTTGCTCGGTCTGAATTTTGATCCTGAGAGAAGAAAACAAATTCCACTGAGAAAAGGCAAGGAGAGCAAAAATATTTCTGAAAATAACAGGCAGTCACCTTCTTTGCTTCAGTTTTTTTTCTTTAGGTAAGTAAGGGAAGGCAGAACAGTCTTCTCTGCCCTGTCAACACACTACAAGTTTTGTTTGGTCCAAGACAATAAAGTTGGGGTCCCAGCACTTCAAACATGATGAGAATTACTTAGTGCATATACTCCACCAGGATGTGTGTCATTCAGATAGGAGATTCATCACGTAAGAGTCAGTGATCAAACCTTGACAAAGATTTTTCCTTCATTTATAGGAACTTTGGTTTTGTGAGGGGAAAACGAATAAATACGAAAAATTACCTTTGAGGATGCAGCATACATTGCAAATTTTGAGTACCACTTGCTAGCCTTCTCTGCAACCCCTTTTCCAGCAGAAAACATGCTGCTTTTTAGAACATCAAACTTCGGAGTCAGCAGCGTATCCAAGTTGAATGACGGTGAAGACACAAGCGTTAGCGCGCTGGTTGCATCCTGTGGCTGTTCCTTTGCTGGGCTGATTGGGGAATAAGCTGGGGAGGACCAAAGCCTGTCTCTTGGCCTTTCTTCACTTTTTGCATGATAACTTTTGGATTTGGTAATACCAGACGGCCTCGGGGAGTTTGGGGGAAGGCTGGACCTCCTGCAAGGTTGGATTATTGTTGGGCTCTTTTTATTAGCATTTCTGTCATCGTAGGGTTTCTGCAACTCGATGCTCGGGGCACGGCTTGACAAAGGGCTGCTCATGTTGTTCATGTACATGACTATTTCTTCAGCTAAATCTCTCCTTGCAGATGGAGTAGAAACACTTCTATCATCGTCATCCTCCTCGTCCTCTTTCTGCTGTTCTGTCTCAGCAACCAGCAGGGACAGCGGATCAAATCCGGTTTCAACATCTGTCTTTTCAACTGGCTTTACTGGAAAGCTGCTTTTTCTTTGCAGCCTTCTAGATTTTTCACTGGAGGATTTCACTGCTGTAGATGCTTCAGGTTCTGCATCCAAGTCTTCCAGATCAAAGATAACAGGAGACTCTGTTTTGTCAGTGAAACTGCCATCAAAAGCTGCATCTTCATCACTAGATTCTTTCTCCAGGCTCTCTCTTTTAGACTCTAAAGAGGAAGTTCTGATATTAAGAGTTTTTGGCCTTATGCTTTTCTGTAATGCATTAGATAGGATTTTGGCATCAGCTCCTAACTTTTCAACAATTTCTCCAGGGTTTGCTTCCTGATTTATTCTATTTATCATGAGTCCCACTAAGCCATCTCCACTCAGGGTACGGTTCCTGCTTTCCCACGGTATCTCCCTTAAGTCAGCTTCTACTGCACTTTTATGTCTCTTTCTTAAGGATTTACTTTTTATAACTTCCGCTTCAGCAGCATCCTCAAAAGATGATGTAAACAGCAATCCCACAGAACTCTCTGAAAACCAGATGAAATAAGGTGTTTTATTTCTTGCTATGCAAGAAAACTCAGCAAAATTACAAAAGAATGCAAATTTTTCTCATCTCTCAAACAGTTTACAACCACTAAGAAATGGAATTCACTATTTATTGTGCTAGTGGTTGAAAAGTTGAATTGACCATGGCCAAAACTTTTAGGGAGGGTCAGACAAAAAAGCATTTAAAAGGGAGTCAAATCATACAACTCAAGAGCACTTTGAGAGACACCATCAAGAGAAGTCTCAGACTTATTTAGTTTTGGAGACATAATCTGTTATTAAGAGGTTTGAAAGCTAGGGACAGAAAAGGTAGCTAGGAAATGGCAAAAAAAGCAACGCTTTCTAACCTGTTGAACCAGAAATAGAGACAACAAAAGGAGTCATTATCAGAGAAATTTTCATAGTTTTTCCACAGCATAAATATGCCGACTTAAAAGTACGATATTACAGTATTTCAAGCACAGCTGGAAGTATTATAACAACAACCAGATTTGACAGCACTGAGGACTTGTGAAAATGCCTCAAAGTTTCTTTTAATTGTACTGCATAGAAACCTCTTGCCCATCTTGAAGGAATTTATTGTCGCTGGAGGTTATAAGGAAAAAACAAGACCTGGGATTTTGTAAGCAGATAACAAAACAAAAGCAACCGCAAGAACAAAATCTGGAAATGCAGAATATTCAGATTTCTCCCTGACACAGCATATGCAGATTCTAACCTGAACTCACTCCCACAAAGTTGCTCCCACAAATTTCATCGGCCACTGCCACTACAGTAAGAAAATACTCTAAGTTTTGTGGACAAAAGAACTCAGGCACACTACTTAAAGCTCTTGTTAGAAATGAAAGAGATACATATATATGTGTATATACATACACACACACACACACACACACAAAACTACACAAGAATCAGAATCTACTTTCTCTTCCACTCACCTGTGCTAGCTTCCGCTACCGTATTGTCAACTGTACCGTTGAGCCGCACTATACTGGAAGCAGCTTTGTCATTATCTGAGCTTTGATAATTCAGCTTAGGCAGGCAGTCACCACTCCCTTTTGTGCTCTCCACTTCTGACACTAAGTTGAAAAGGACAGACAGCATTTTAGTATCAAAGCAACTTGATTTAAATCTCAGCTTTCCATTACCTATTAGATGCTCTATGCAGGCTTAAGTGAGAGCATGTCATATACACCCTATGATGCACAGACTGGTATCTACTTGGGCAGAGGTTTTCAGGCTGGAACAACTGAACTAGGAATATTTAATTCCTGGCATCACTTTTATAACTGGAAGTTCCACAAGCTTCTGTACAGAGTCCAAGTAACCAGCACTTGCATATCAAAATGTATGGTGGTTGTGCAGACTAAGACCACCCCTGTTCACTTGCAAAGGATAAGAGTAAGGGTATTTTCTCCTGGTTTTGCAAGAGCTCAGGGCCAATGAGCCTGTCTTCATACAGATCTCACTACCCCCATGACCGTGACTTCTGACCATTACGTCCCCTTGACAAGGGCATAGTTAACTCAAATAGTAGGAAAGTGCACTGAAAAAATTTACATACTGTTATTGTTAGGAGAACATTAATTATAAAGAGTATTTTCAGTTATGTATACGGGAATCTATAGTACTTACACATTTTTATGACACAATCTGATTTGCTATATGCTTGCATAAAGCCTGTGCTGCTCAACTGCAGTTAAGGGAATCATGAGCAGCATATGTAAAACCTGAAAAAAACAAACCCCAGGTCCACAGCAAATCCAAAGTCCTTCTCATTTCTGTTGCACCTCCTAAATTTTGAGAGTTCCAGGGAGCTGAGTAATTTAGACCTGCTCTCACAGACCTGCAAAACTTCAGCTGTTCTCTTATGGGATTTATAAAGAAAACAGACTGGTAGAAAAGACTGTCCTGCAAATTATGCCTATAAAGCAATTTAAAGACAAAAACATTAAGCTGTAATTAGCATTAAGCCTTTATATTCCTGTTATCACTTATTTGAAACAGAGGAGGGGAAAACGAACTGTAATTTTAGAAGTTAAACAATTAGACATCCAGAAAATTACATTTAGAGGAAAGAACTTAAGGCATGGGCATAAACTGGCATTATCACATACACTCACTGTAAAAAGTCAGCTGCCCCACTTAGCTTTTGCTGAAATCCCCATTTATCCACAATGAACTATATATCTGCATTCACAAGATACATACGAGAACTGGAGTCACTCTCTCTCTTGTCCTCTTTTTGTTCTTGTATATCTTGCAGACAAGTTTTCCCTTGCTTGGCTTCTTCTTTGAACGATGTGTTATTGCCAACATCTGAAAGTCCCCCTATCGTAACAGGGCAATGACAGAACAAAGATGGTCGTGGTATTTAGTAGTGTGATATTGTTAAACAGAATAAATTGAATATCCACAGTAATTCAAAGACCTCTTATGAAGTAGATTCCAATTAACAGTGGACATCTTACCACCAAAAAAGTGAGGAAAATGATTGGCTTACTTCTACAGTATAACCATTGAAGCAATGCTCTACAGGATGAAACTGAAGTGGTAATTTGCAGCATACATGGGTTGTTTGTTTTTAATACTGTAGTAAAGCACTGCTTGTCTTGGATTCTGTTGCCTGCTTTATTTGAACAAAATGTCACACCTTTTCAAGAACTCTAAGATGCATCTAAACAGAGTTTCATTTTAGCATAGCATGTTTCTATGAGTTAACGCATATAATTCTCATCGTTTTACTCTGGAAAGTAAAAATATTGAAACAACGCAGTAGCAACCATGAGTCTGTTCGCAAAATAAGATTAAAAGAACCAACACCACACACAGAAAAAAACCCCTCTGCAAACATTCACATAATTATCACATGGATTTCAGGTTCAAGTTTTGTCTCCACGAAGAGCTGATACAATAAATAAAGAACAAACTATTTGGGATTCAAAGACCAAAAAAACCAAACCACCAACCCAAAACCCAAACAACTGCTCTTTTGAAAGTAATGTAAGAGTACTTTTGTCCTCCCTCTAAATGAATTTTATCAAATTCACAACAGAAAGCTATTTGAAGTTATTTTCTTATCAGCATGGAAGTGAAAAAAAAAAAGATGTGAATACTTTACCAGGAATTGCTGTATGTGATGTGCTTGCGGGCAGCTTTTTCAATGCTTTTTTAAACTGTGCTATTCCTAAAACAACGTTTCTTATTTTCATCCATAGGAAATAGCCACCTCGATTGCTTGAAGGCCACGTACTTTCCAAAACAGCCTATTTTGGAAATATCAAAGTCAAATAAAGTCATCCTAAGGAATAGTCAGGTGTGAAATTATTAACTTAATTCCAAATGAGGTTACAGTTATAGAGTTGTAAAACTATAAAAACAAAGACAACACAATTATTGTCTTTCTTCCAGTTACTAAAAATGACAGAAATACACCTGAACTGCTCCCTTATTCTGTCTGCTTCTATTTGCCTGGATAAAAATGCAATTTTTCCCTCTTGCTTAAAAAAACCTTACCTTATTGTAGTAGCCATAAGTAATAGCGTTAGGGTCAACACCAGCTTTCTGCATTTCAAAAAGCACTCTCACTGCTAGCACAGGCTGACCGTACTGGCCACACAGCTGCATGAGTACTCGGTAGCAAACCTGAAAATACACAGAGTCAAATACAGTCAAGCACATATTCTAGTCAATAAAACCCATGGGCTATGTCTGGAACGCTGGGGTTGATTTCTTTTACCTCATCAGGTGGATCTATTTTTTTGGTATGCATTTTCTGTAGCACATCGTACGCAGTTCTCAGAGCCCTGACTTTGGAATGGCACACTTTCACATAGGCAGGCAGGCAGATGAACCAAAGACCATAGCAGTGCCGTAACAAACACCTGGACCACATCTGTGGTATGGATGAGTACTTCTTTGCAATTTTGTGTGCGGATTTAATTTCCTGTAAAGAATCACAAAGATTATTTATGTATATTTATATATATTTCTATTTATTTACGTAAAGATTATTTTATTTATATTTACATGTTAAAACCTGAACATGTATCATTATACCTACAGAAACTGCAAAATTAATATGAACATATTCAATAGAATGGAAAATGAAAGTAGAGTAAGTGATACCAAAAACAGTTGCTGTGCAATATTCCCCACCTAAAAACTTGCATTTCTTTAAATTTATGTCTATTACTTTTGGTTTGCATTTTTGGTAGGAAATATTTGAAAGTTAGTCCAAAAAAACCAATTAGCATTGCTAATAGTCATTGTATCAATCCAAAGTACCTCATGCTACAAGAATAACAGCAAGTACCTGTTTAGTTCGTCTGAACATTGGCGAGGGGCTGTTGGGACTACTGGCTTTTGAGGACAGTTTGTTATTTGGTGCTGTGAGAAATCCTTCGGGTCGCTCAAACAAATCGAGTTTTAATACTGGAAATCCATTATAGCTGTAAAAGAAATGTGTCACTTAACTCCTCTAAGCCAGCTCCAAAGCAAACATGTCACATCGCAGCAAATGAAATCAATTACACAGTTACACTACAAGCTACATAGGAAACAGAAAACAAAAAAGTAAACCGTTTAAGCCACTGTTGACAAAGTGGTTTACTAATCTATCTGCATGACTTCATAAGCTTGCACAAACAGTCTCTTCACCTGTTATTTCAGTGTAAGCAACTTCAATTATAAATACATTTGCTTTCATAGCATTGTCTTTAATGTGTCAAACACATTAGTATTGATTTTAGTTAATACAAACAATCTGTGTGGCTTAGTCCCTCACAAGCATCACACGACAAACGTTTATAAAAATCAATACGAACAATATCAAACTATCTTAAAAAATTAGATTTAAAAATGTTTCTCAGAATTAATGAAGAAACCAACAGACAAACTCATTTGACATAATTACTAAATTAGTAACACCAGTTTTCAGTGATTCTTTGAAATGTAATCTTTCCAAAGAGTATCTGAACCTTTACCGTTATCTGTAGCAGCAGCAGGCATTTTACGTACACATTTCTACTTGTACTTCATGGCTATCACAAGAACCTAGAAATTAAACTCTACAAGGCAGCTTGTAAAGGCAGCATCCCACCGTGTCCTTAGGTTACCTGTATTGTAGAGGGTGCTCTTCACCATTTGGCAGATGAGGGATCTCAGGGGGTGTTATGAAAACTGTGTGCTCGCTCTTGTATGACTCATCCAGCTCTATAAGTCGTGTTTCCCCGGTTTTGTCCATATCTACCTGTAGAAGTTACATTAAAAGAAAAAGAAGTTACTAGTGGTGGTGTATTTTCTGCCATTAAAGCTGGGCAAAGTCTGTATCAGCACCAAAGGACTGCATCTCAAAAGTAAGGATGCCTGGCACAGTTATATTCACAACTGAAAGCGTTGCAACATTTTTGTAAACTTCACCCTGACACAATAATTGATGTTTAATGATATACTCTCAATTGACTGTTTGCAGGTAAATACTATAAGCAGTGGTACAAAGAGGTTAATCTTTCTGAAAACCATTTCTAGAACCATGCTTCCAACTGCAGCAGTAACTTGAAATTTATTTTCAAATAAGAAAATAAAAGCTGTTTTTCCCACCTCTATTTTAACCACTGGAAACAATGACAAACTTTATCCAGTTGTCAGATGCATACAGACTCTCCCAACAACACTATCTAGCAATTTCAGTTACTTACATAGTCATTAAGGTCATGCTAGTTAGCAGTGATTTCAGAAACACACATGCAGTCAAAGAGATAATGGAATAAAAATGCGTGCCCCTGCTTTAAAGGCAGCAGCAGAGATGAACTCCAAGGCTCCAGGTAGATCTCAAAGCATCAAACTGCAGGACCAAGTGCGAGAAAGCTGCAATTTTCTCAGGAATCTTTCAGCAATTTTACTGAAAGAATTTCATTCTGTTGCTTGAGACAAAAACAAAAAACCAAAGCAAAACTTGGCCACTCCAAACAAGACTTTGGGAAACTATGAACTATTTTCCTTTGAGAAAAGGAACAGACAAGCCTTTAAGAATATGACAATCTTCTTACTGCTACTGTTTGCATTACAGAAGCCACCGGGAACAGAGCAAATATAACGTGTATTACTGTCCACCTGAGAGCATTTACTTGCTATTTGTACTGGTATTTGTACTGCTCTGCTTCTGACCTTCTGTCACCAGTTGTCTTTGCTCCAACATCTCATAAGCACTGCTTCTGCTTGTGGCATGGGCCACGTCTCCATCCCAAAGAGCTGGCACTGTCAAAACCTATTTACTTCCTAACACACAGAATGTGCTTTTTAGTCACATACTGATAGCCCCAGTGTTCAGCTCAAATACTGTCACAGTTTACACTTCTAGCCACTATTTAAATGCTTTAAATGGAAACCAAATTACAGCCACATGGTACATTACTTCAAAGAAATGAGTAAGTAACCTGTGGAACCCAAGGATGCGTGTTCTTCATGCCGTGAGAGTTTAGCAACAGAGAATGAATGTACAAAAATAAGCATATTCACAGTTCTCTCCTCTCCAGTGAGGTAGAAATATATGAAGTAGTTTCAGTACAATTCTTGAATATTTAAAATTTGATAAACATACAGAGGTGTTCTTAATTACACATTTTACTGCATGAGACAGATGGAAAGCATTAACAAATGAACCAGCCAAGTAGCAAGAACATATGGCTCCTGAAAAGTAGAAATAAATGGAACCTTGCTTGACAATTTAAATACTCCTAAGGATGTAAAAACCTCCACAGCTACAAGCTTCACCAGTGAAATGCAATAAAACCAGTAGCTTAAATATATGTTGAATTCAGATCATCTTTGAATTCCTGAAAAAACCGTGAACTTTCCAGACCATTAAACCATATCTTTCAGTAGACAAAACGGGTAATCGATTACAGTCTCTGCTGCTGCTGCCTAGGATAAAACAACATGGAGAAGAGACTACTCTTCAGCTTAAACTGTTCTTATAAATTATCTGAGGCAGGGCTTAGTTTATACTTTATAGATAACTAATTTCACAGTACATAAAATTTGTCTCAACCCAGTGGCTTACAACCACCCACAAGAAAGTGCTGTATCATCGCTGAACCCATGACATCACTCTTGCATGCACCCTTTCAGGTACTGCTTTCACCTGCTGAAAGACATTAATACAGATATAAATATTCACTTTATTGGAATCTGATATTTGGTCAAAGTGGAGCATCCTGGGGAGAGCTCTAGTTCCTGTCTACAAGATCTCCTATTTTTAAACACTGCCATCCAGCAAAGCAAGCGCTGTGTTGAAGGTTTTTTAACTGAACTATAAGATAATCGAGTGAACATTACAGAAATGTTTGTAATTAAATCAATTTACAACCCACCAATACCTGCAACTCACGCTGTAGAACTGTGAAGCACACTTTCGAGAACCACTCGTAATAAAATATTGAGACTAGCAAAAGCTATAAAGAGCATTAAATACCATTAGGTGATGCCTTTTTATTTCTCTCAAAGTTAACTGCTTAAAGATTTGTTTTCAAAACAACTCCTTTTAGCTCTCCTGCACCTTCAAAGCAGAAATAGCCATAAACAGAAAGTGCAAATAGCAGTTTTCATAGTCTCCAGTATTAATTCCTGTGGAACAAACAGCAGATGACCTACTTTACAGGAAATCCTAGACAACCGCACATTACTTAAACATCAGCGTCCCAGAACAGCATTACAGGTAGCCAGTGAGATGACAAATAGCTGTGGAATTTCTTGTGATATTAATAAAAACTTATTTCATGTTACAATAGGAGCAGTGATATAGGATTGTGGGTTTCAGTTCAGCTCTTCTGGAAAAAAAACCTAACGTGAAAAGAATTTCAAGCAAAATCCTTTTGCAGACCACCTTTGGAAATACAATGAATTTTCAAAAGCTAATTAAAAAAAAAATCAAGGAACCTTCTATTAATAATGACTAAAAAATAGTGAGACTGCCTTGTATCTTTTAGTGGGCTGCTCATCTACCCTATTCCTAAATGGCTGCACAAACTATTACACAATCCATTAAAATGCTCGTAGTTTTATCTAAGGAATATAATTCTCTGATAGAGAACCTCAAAGTTGCTACTTTACAGGCAGAATATTACAGTTATTATCATGTGCCAGTGTTTAAGAAGCTTACATGTATGTGAAAATTAGCACTTGAATTTCTTCTCATGATATCTTATTTGTACTTTGACAAATTTGAAGCAGAAAATGAAACAAAACCCACCAAGAAGAGGAAAATGGAAGGCTACAGTGACTAGAAAAGAGGAAGTAAAAGAAAAAATAGAAATAAACTAGCACTTCAATACATTCTGCTTGTACTATATCACGTAATGTAACCAAAAGCAGAAGCTACAAAATCACATGCACATGAAGACATGCTTACTTTATCTACGCAGTCATCAAAAAAGGCAAGGCTTGCGTCCTTATCGCTCACGAAAGAACACTCTTCGATGAAGCGAATAAACATCTGAGTTTTGGTCATCAGCGTGTAGAACTTCTGATGTGAGCGATCTCGACTTTTGAGGAAACCTGGAAGTGAAGTCAGAAGCACGTAAGAATGCCTAAACCAGAAAAGCCCTCACCAGAAGTCAGCATGCGTTCGATTACTGAGCAATGGCCTTTCTGTAATCTCTGCTATTGCTATGCAATTTTTTCTCCACTTATATCACTACCACCATTTCCAACACTAACACTGCAAGTGTTTTTAGTCTTTAAATGAGAGAGCATATAAAATAACAAATTAATACACATAAAACGAGTTTCTGACTCTTCACCTTGCAGTTCAAAGAGGGAACTTGCATCTGTGGCTGTTTCAGAAGGCGCCTCCGTTATGGGCCTGAGATAAGACCTGTAACCTTTTAGTATTGAGGCCATGAAACACAGAAATGCTTCCTGGATCTCCAAATCTAACAGATGCAGCTTCTTCCCAGAATTAAAGTCATAGTCATTCATTGCCAATTCCATTAATGCATCTTCTCTTGGTCTCTGTTGCACTGTGAACAAAAACAACATTAGAATGTTTCACATTATCATTTTTTACCCAATATTAGTAAAACAATTCTTTATTCTACTTGATTCACTGATTACTGCACTCAATAGTTTGAAAGAGATTAAAATATATGCAATTAAATTCAGCCACGACATGCCACAATGATTCAGCTTGACCTTATACAACTCATGTATCTCTGGGTAATACCAAAAGTAAGACACATTTACCTTTTCAGTGCATTAGTTACTACAGCAACAGAAAGAAGGTCTTCATTAGGTCCTGGCCTACTCTTTGCTTTACTAATTCCTTCTCATAAAAGCTCTGCACTTTCTTTGGTAGGAGAATAACATCAATGCAAAGGGATATCTTTCAAGCACCATGAGATATATATAGGTGTATGTACATATATATGTGGAAGCCTTCTCCACCTGAAAAGCCCCTACATGTGTTCAAATCTCTGGACTTAAAGCACAGATTTTCCTGTCCTGTATGAAAACATTACGTTTAATGTAATGGGTGACTTCAGAACATATTTAATTAGCTATATTTATCTATTAACGTGGCACACTATAGCCAATGTAAATCTTACTATGTACTTTCCTACTCACATTCTGCCAGCTGCTGATATAAATTATTTAAAGTGTTCATCAGATTTTTACAAGGTTTCTTTGGTAAGATCTTCCATGCAATAGCTTTCTTATCTCCAGTTCTGAAAGGAAAAGTAAAAGTGAGTATACACTGGAATAAGCATGTGTACATAAGACTGAATTCAGAGGAATTTTTTATCCCACCACAGTAATGGGAGAACAAACACAATTTGCTTCATTAAAACGGGACTGAAAACAAACCAACAAAGTGAAACTTTATTCACTGTATGGAGATTTGATCACCAATGCCCCACATTTCAGGATGATGATGATGCAGCCACAGCCTTTAGCACTGACATCAATTCACTAACAACTCACAAGAGATGGATTATTAGTATTAAGCACCTGCCATTGCACAAGTGACCACCACTCATGCTACATTCTGAGCTTTAATTACTTAAATTAAGATGGAGGTAATGACTGGAATGCTCGCAGTAACCTGAAATCAATCTGATATGGTAACTTGTGCTTAGTGTGTATAGATTTGGACTCAACTATATCATTCTCATGATGGGAAAAAATGACAACATTCTTTGTCAACAGAGGGCACCAGCAAACCTCAATACCTTAACGGTCACAAAGCTGCAAGAATTGCAAGCATTTGTTTGACACCTTTTTCCCATACAACAAAGCAGAATTGATCTGATAAGAATAAGAAAATGTATAGAAAAATCAGCTAAAGGTAGAATGAAAACAGAACTAACTGGAAATAAATTACTTTCCATTAATTAATATGCATGACAATTAGACAAAAACTTGAGAGCTGAATTGCAATACAAAGTTGGTATCAGCATAAAATCCTTAACAAAAATTTCTATTTACAAATACTTAAAATATGCAATCTTCTTTAAATCCTCACACAACTACTGAAGCAAACATAAACTTACAAATAAGAAAATTTAAAGAAGGAAGACTGCTGAAAGACTGCTACCAACAGGAGGGTAATATGAAAGATCACTGAGCAAAGACTTTGAGAAGTTACACTAAGTATATACTAATATATATATTAAGCATTATACCCAAATAAAGGTTTAATTCTGAAACATAAGTTTAATTAATTTTTCATGGTTTAGAATCTTGAATTTGAAGCCTTACCCTCTTCTGTCTATTTTTGTATCACATCATCACAAGCAAATAAAGGATTGTTTTGAATATCATAACTGTTTTACAACAGTTTTAGCAGTGCACAGCTGTCCCTTACTTGTATTTCAGACACTAGATAATCAGTAATACAGAAAAATGTAGTACTGAGTTCTGAAAGAACTACTGTAATACTGTTATTTCAGTTTGTTAACGATGTCATGATTCTAAGTCTTAATTAAGACTCTCTCACCCATGAAGGTTCACACCTCGAATTCTCAACATGAAGTTCCTACACTTCATACTGATATGGAGTATGACTTAATTGTTCCAATTTTCAAGCAGATGCCCATGCGAATATGCTAGAATTTTTTCAACACTAAGAAAGCTAATCATGAAGAATAAAAATGACTGTTCTCCTCCAGGGACTATGAAGTGAGACACAATATGGTTAATCCAGGAAATGTGCCAATGCGTGCAGTAAGATTTTAATGAAATAGAATAAAAGGCACTAATGTTCCATGAGGATTGTACCTCTGTGTTGAACAGGAGCTATCATTTCTGGTGTACTCGCTTCAAGAAAGATGAGATATTAGAATGTCCCGAGGTTTAAAGCAAACAAAATCCCCCAAAGTTTTGCCAAAAAGCTAGTTTTTGCTTTTGAAAACAGGAAGTTACAAACTTAACATGGAAAAATATGATACATAAATACTTACTGAGAAATAGTATTGGTATCTAGGTCAACACAGCTAACATCTGGTGGAGGGTCATAGAGATCAAAGTATCTTGAATCAATTCCCACTATGAATGGGCACGGTGCACTTAACACATCAGCCAGTGCCAAGGGACACAGAGGAATATATGGGCAAGGCCAGTGGAAGGGAAAGATCATCTTTGAAAATATGCAGAGACCAAAACATAGGTTAAACATGTATAATAATATAGTCTATGCAAGTATAAACCACACTTCATTAGCTACCACTTCAAAATTATTCAACATGGCAGATAACCGTTACTGAATATCTAAATGCAGATTATTAAATTAAAAGATGCACTAATTTCTCTAAAATTCAATGTGTTTAATTTGCAGAAAAAAAGCTCTTCAATATAAAAGACTATATCTAGTAGAGGTAGCAAAAGAAAATCACATGCGTTTAAAAGTCTTCTGCAATAGGGAATGCAGTGCTATTTGGGAAAACTAGCAACTCTTATTCAGTGCATTGTGATGCTTATTTACAATATTTACACAGAAAGAACCGACAACAGTTACTCTCTCTTCTTTGTGAGATGTCATTAGCAACATGAGTTTTTCCTCTCTAATGATCTTTATTTTTATTATTATTTTTAAGTAACCTTTAAGCCTAACAACAATACTGTTAATTTTAGATTTCATCTTTCTTTTACTCAGAGTTGTATGATTAAAAGAATGTTACTTACAGAGACTAATGCCTCTGTCACACTGGTAAGGACTGAAGGTCGCAATGAATGGATGAGAATTTTATGTTCCGTCACAGCGAATACAAGTAGAGTTACAGCATTTTCAGGTCCTAAATTCTGAAGTAGTGTAGAAAACTTGCCTCCACTGTCACAGAATATATAAACAGAGGGGTGAGTTACAAGGGACCATAAAACCCAGAAATGTTCAATGACAAAACAGAAGACAAGGCATTGGAATAGGATTTTACAAACTTAAATCTGCAAATCTTAATTTTAAAGAAGACTGCAAGGCAGAGTGCTGGTACACTTCACTGCTCAGTGCAGAGTGGTTACTTCCCAATATTCACCATCGTTCCTTGAGTCTCTTCAATCACTCCAGACTATTTTCAGGACACATGCATGATGATTTTTCTTGCCGAGAAGCAATTTACAGGGAGACAACGCATGTTTCTTTAATCATTCCCTTGCACAGAGACAGGAAGGTTCAGACAGCCACAGAACTCCTTCAATTACCTGGCAGTACAAAAGCTCTTGGGAGCCCAGGTACCAACTCCCAGTAAGGGGATCTAAAATCTGTATTCTGCATCAAAAACCACTGACATTTGAAAAAATACAGCTATTGCTCTTTAGGTATGTATCCTTGTCAGGGCACAGGTTTAATCATACAAATAAACCTCAGATACATAGCTACAGAAGGCACCAGACAAGCTAAGTTAACTTGCACAATTACAACTCAAAGTACCAAATCTTTTCTGCAGTGTGAATCAGAGCACATTTCCCAATTCAACAGAAGATACTGCTACTTGCCTCAGCGGAAGGGGTGAAGACACAGGTTGGCTAAGAATCAGGTTATCATGCGGAGAGAGCTGCAAAAAAGGTTTTTAAATACATTATTTTTGTTCTGAAATTTAGAAATATATATTAGAAATCATGCAACTATAACAAAGAACTTGTAAAAAGAAAATTTAAACTTAGCTGAACCTCATATAGCCCAGTACAGCACTGTAAGGAGTACCTTTCAATAAAAACCAGGCAAAGTAC